GGAATCGCGCGATTCGCTAGCGTCTGCGGTCGCGTCGCGGCCAGTGAATCACTCAATTGGCTGGTACCGCAACGCGACCGCGGACGCTAGCGAATCGCGCGATTCGCAAAGTCTGACATCGGCCTTAGGAAGAAACGCCCATCACTCGAGAAGATCGTATTCCTTCAGTAATACCAACTATTTATAACGTTTGCTGACGTCAAGCTATTTTTTGCTCGGGAGTGGAAACTAATACGTGAAAACTTCTGTACAAAATAATGATGAGCTGCACCTTGCGGAACCGCACCAGACAACACAGGAATCGTGTTCCATATTACTATCAATGGAAGTCGCTTAGGCAAAATTAGAAAGGAAATACGGGCGCGACACATGGCAGTCGAGCGCGAAGATGCGCAGCGGCCAGTTCGTTGGCTACATTATCGTCTACAATTGATGGGAGACGTTCAGTTCTTCTCCTAGGTCAGATCACTAGTGCTATGTGATCATTGAAGCCCAAAGTTAAGCTCGGGTTTAGGCTTGGGCTCAGGCTTACGCATAAACCAATGCGCAAACACAAGCCTGATTGGGCCTAATCTAAGTCCTAGGCTTGCTTCGAGCAAATGAGTGGTCGTCTTAATTTTAGGTGACCTAACCTGTGGAGGAGCCTTGAAGCACATCAACATTTGGCAAAAGAATCATTAACTATGGTCGAACAGAATGGACAGAAAGGGAACAATTTGTTGGCAGCTGGTTGGCGCTTGAAGCTATTCGGGCAAGGACAATCAGAGTCCCCGCGTATCGCCTAGTGTGTATTCGATTACAATGTGAGTGTATCAGTCGGTGAGGTCACACGGCAAGAGTATTACACCCCAAGTGGTCCATTATAAGAAGTAGCTCGCTCCTCACTGTCCTTGAAAAGGCTGCTCTTGGTTGGTTACTTCACATGGTATGCGCGCTTCTACTAGCACATCTGCGAGGACCGGCCAAATGGTTTGGGCCTAACTTTAATGCAGTTCGCTACCCTGCTCCAAAATGCGTAAATTTGCGGGGTGTCCCCAACAGGCCCACCGCGCGGCGAAGCAAGAGACGCAGACGCGGCAAAGGGACGAGTCGCAGCGCATACTGTAGCGGTTAGGCGTCAGGTTAAAGAGAGTGTACCATACTACGTCTCATATCGCACAGCACGCGCTGCAACTCGTCTCTTTGCCGCATCTGCGTCTCTTGCTTCGCCGCGCGGTGGGCCTGTTGGGGACACCCAATTTCCCACACCTCAACTAATGGAAGGATGATGAGTCGAAGTGCCATAGGCAAAATGAATACGCTGTTGGACATCTGATTGCGAATCGAAGTCTTTTCATGAGTGCACCATATTCGATTTTTGACGAGTTATGAAGCAATGTAGGGAAGCCGCAGGGTCGAACTCACGGAGTGAGAGGTCGTTACGCCTGACAGTAACGTGTGCGTCTCTTTAAATAAGTTCTGATCGTTTAAGGCTGACCCTCTAGTAGAAGAAAAAAAATACCCAAACAACTCTTAACGAAAAGGTTCTTCTCGAAATGTTGTGGTCTTCTTTTGGAAGAGCGATTATGCAACCATCGAACCCTTTGAGCACGGCCGGGTTCAGAAAAATCAAACCCATTAAAAATCCAATTTCTACCGACCCAGTATATGTGAAAAGAGATATGCTGCAAACGTACAATTGCAAAAGGGTAAGGAATCGAGCAACAAATGGAAGTGCCTGTGCAAGCTTCAAACTTTCAAATGTTTGGCGCATTCGGTCCTGATTCAAGGCATCCGGCGCCGTTCGAGTGTGCTCAGTCAACCGCAATCAGATTAATAAAACAAAAAACAAAGTCTACGACTGACCTTGCTTCATTTTTTAACTATCTTCCTTACTGAAGCAGCTCAGAAGGGCTTTTTTTCCAGCTTGGCTTCTACGTTAAAAGGCTACCCCAGGATCACATTGGTGTGGCCCATGTGCACGAATGTGATTGTACTGGTGGGAAGTGGGCCGGCAGTAAAGAAAAAAGGAAAAGAATCCGTCAAAAACGCTTAGGTTAAGGGCTCACTCACCTTCCTGATCGGCTGTGCTAAGGGAATGAGAGACTAAGCGCGGAGAGGAGAGTATGAGGCGAGAGAGCACTACAGATGAGAGAGCGCCAGACAACAGCCTGATAAGAAAAAAAAGTCTGCAGCTTGGGCAGCTTACTTTGGCCTAAGCGCTCTTATCGGTCGGTTTCCGTGCACGAGGACGCCACATCTGTGATTGTCCTCTAGGGTTCTATACTAGTGACCGAAGAGAAGCGTTCACACGAACTCTGCCTGGGTTGTGCCTTTAAGGCACGTGCGAAACGGAAGTCGAACTAATTCTTTGATTATTCCCCCCTAAAATTTCTAAGTTCTATGTTTTTACTCAAACTTAACTATTTTATTTGCCCATTGGAAATGTGAGGTTTATTGGAGAAGGCGCATCGGAGACCACCTAACACTTCGTATGAAAGTTGTGTACATGGCGTATCCAAGACTGGCATTTTCGGCCCGAACATCTCACACCAGCGCTACCCCAAAGGTACCGGTCATATTCGAATTGTGCGTAAAATTCAAATCTCTATTCAAAGTACTAGTAAAATCAGTTTACATCTCCCGGTGTCATGTTTTACTCAGTGAAAATCGATACGGAGAAGTTCTCGTTGTTCGTGATTTCAGGACTCGTTGAAAATGCACATCGTCAGCTGTAAAAGTCGTCTCATTATCATTTTATGAGCATAGGCAGAGTCCAGGAGAATGACGAACATTAACAAAGTGAACCTGGCCCAGAGTGAGGGGCGCAATCGATCGTTCTATCCCTTTTCCGCCTCTAATCATATTTTCTTGTGCCTCGAAACAGCTGGTGCACTCTGAGTGAATATATCCCAGATGCGGAACAGGGGGCGTCGAATGAGGAAGGGATGAGGAGAGAAAAGGGATAAAAGCAGGAAAAGCGTGCAGCATGAGGGAAAAATGATGAGAAATCTCACGAAATCGCCTCAAGGAGTATTACAAGCTCGCTAAGCAGTCTCATCTAACGAACAAAGCCGGCCGCATAAGGAAGAGCGGGTATAGGCAAGGCCCTGACTCACGTTAGAGTCAGGAAGGGGGAGGAAGGGGAAGGGGGTTATTGATTCGAAAACTTCAGGGACAACTTGCCATTCAGGGTGCACGAATTAGTCGAAGGAATTTCAGGTCAGAGCTAGCCCCATCCTCTTGAATTCGTTTTATATCTACAGATCCCCTTGGCTACTTCCTCGAGTGAAAAGCGATAACATGTTTCCGAAGCCGGAAATGCTCAGAAAACTCGTTGTACACCGAGAATGAACACTGACAGCCAGCTCATCAGGATTCACTCCATTGTAGGCTAACAGTTAATCTCCGAAAAAGTGTAGCGATCTAAAATCGGGTTCTGGGTCAACAACCCAGTATGACAAAATTTTTGCATACATTTGGCCTTCCAAAATTCCTACCCGAAGAGTGCACAGCGCTAAGAATACATTCATATCCTCGTAACAGTGCAATCGTATCTTTATTAAGATTTTTCAAGAACCAGCCGAACTTTCACAAAATCCTTTTGACCGAAACGTCCCTTGCAGATCACATGCAAGTTATTGGTCTCCATATTTGTTACAAGCCTTCGGGGTCTGTCGATTTACCTAGGTTTCATTCCGAATGTCCTATGGGATTTTGAAGGTTTTTCCTGGTAGGTAAATCCTATCGAACT